TCCAGAGTTGTGGGCAGCTCGGTGTCACCCAGCTGGTTTCCGCACTGCACGCGGCTCTGGCCTAAAAGCCAGGTTGGCTTCAGACCCTCCTACCAAGCGAACCAGAGAGAGAGAGAGAGAGACATGCAGTATATATATATATATATTATATCTATATAGAGCAAGATATTCAGAGGTGGATAGATCGATAGGTAGCTAGAGGTTAGCTATACCCAAAAGCATCAAAGACTACATTTGAAAAGACAAAAAAAAAAAAGAACTGTCTTTCATTAGAATACCTGATGTCGAGAACTTCTTGAATCCTTCCCTGAGGCAAAGTATCGTCTTCCCCTCAACTACTTTCGATGAAATCTGACGACGCCATGGACCCTTCTTCAGAACCAGACGAAGCCGCCTCCCGCTGATCCCTGCAGTAACACCGCAGGAGAGCGCTCCAGCGGCCCCAAAGGGCCGGGCCCCAAGCGGAGAAAACAAAAGAACGACCGCGAAAAGCTGGGCGTTCCCAGCATTTTTTTCAGGGATCCTCCAAAGGTCCACTTCAACGAGATGATCGCATAGCAGATTCTTTAAAGCCCAAATGAGATGAAATAATCATGAATAGGCTCTTTTGTTTTAGGTCTACTTTTCCTGGGACGGATCATGAAAACTCATCCCATCACTTTTGCATCACGGCGCCACTTCGCCACTTCTGCGCTGCGGGTCTTTTTCAGAGCCTTATGCCATCTCGTCCAGCTTGGTTAAAGGAAGGGTCCAAAACCACCTTGGCCAAGTTGACTGTCGACCAGCAAGCGTCTCTAAGAACTTCATCCAGGATCTGCAGCAAACGCCGCCGATTTTTGGTGCACCGATTGCTGGTGCGGGAGGATGCTCAACCAGGAATTCTGGTATATAACTATTTGTGGTTCCTCGCGACGGACGCCTACATACTTGAACAGAAAACGAACAAAGCCGCCAGCTCTCAGGCGCACCAAAAAGGGATCTGGGGAAAAACAAGGCAAGCGACATGGCAATTTCAGCCACAAGTTCAGGCAAACTCCATTCGCTGGGGCCCCTTGGGCCCCAGTTGATGTGAGATCACATAAGTAGCAAGTGGTGAACGGAAACTCCCCGTCAAGGGATTGGTTGAAGGGAAAATTTACAGGAGACCACGATTTTCACCTCCCATAGTTTCCCAGAAATGGTCCCGGATAGACCCAATTCCGAAACCCTAAATCTCAGGATCTCTCCCTGGAAATATGGGCAGTATGGCCCTTCTGTTCGCACCCTCGCCATTTCATGTCAGATCTGTCTTTCAGGATATGCACTGAAAAGAACCAAGGGTCCCATGTTCCAGTTCCCGCGCTACAGCTGGGGGCCTACCAACCCGGATCGATCCACCTTCTCAGGTCACCTTCGATAGGGGTGGCAGCTAGCCTCCAAGAGCGAGTCGACCCTTTCGAGGGTCAAAGAGACCTCGGACCAAGGGGCTCGTGTCGGAGCCATCGACCAGCCGTTCCAAACGAAGGGAACGGAAAAGACGTACACGTGAGTGGATCTTAGATGGAGCCCCCCTAAATCCATCATCCTATCATTGAACACCCAGACATGGAACTGCTGGTCTCTGCTTGGTGTTTGGTTTTTGGTTGTGTTCTGGTCTTTTTGTTGGTTTCCCACCCAACCTTGCAGATACTTCCCACCACTTCTCATGATGAGTTGTTGGGGCCTCCCAAGCATGATCCCCATGGTTCTGTTCGTTCGGAGCCACCGAAGCGGCACCGGTGACGACTGTGAACGACGGGTTCTACACGTCCGGTCACCGAACACGTCCGACATGGTGGTGGTTACGTGGAGCTCACCGACCGGACCTGGTTACAGGAGACGATCGTCGTCGTCCTGGAGGGGTCATGCCAAACCCAGGTAACCATGTGATGTGTGAGATCAGAGTTGTTTTTTCCCATCAGGAGTCCGACAGAGAAGACAGTACTAGAGTTATAAATGCTGCTATGCTTTTCCTTTTCCTTCCAGCAGAGGTTGAAGATCCCGAAGTAGGCTATCCTATAGGACCCTATAAGGTCACTTGACCTCTGTTGGTTGGTAAAGGAAATTCCCGCTTTTCCGTTCTTTTGATGTTCTCAGCTGAACGTATCCCGATACGCTCCGTCCAGACATCTACCGGAGGAAGACTCCCATGAGGAGCACAGAGCCCAAAACACTGCACCAGAAGCGGTGAACACAAATCCAGCCATGGAAGCCGCTGGGGGCCGATCTGGAGGAGGAAAAACACCTCCAGATGGGTGGTTGCCAATGAAAACACCAAACTCTGACCATCAGTAAATAAAAGGCCCCTCTTCAACAAGGTTTGCATGTCTTCCTCTTGCACGAGGTCCGGGGGGTCGCCCTCTTTCAATATGTCCATCCTGCGCTTCTTCCCAAACGTCCGGAACTGCATTTGTTTGCAGCGCTTGCCTGACCTGACTGACCGCCAGCCACCGGAAAAATGTGGATGTCGCCATGTCCGTCCTGCTGCTTTTTTGGGGTTCGAGGCCACGCTGCTCAAGTCACTGGGATGCCCTGGCCCTTGGTGGGTCGGTGGGACACCCTGAAGACGCAACCAAACTGGTGCGTGTCCAATCCCTGAGAGTTCAAGCGAAGAAGAACCGAACAGTGGCAGTACCTGGTGGTAGGAGGACAGGTTCTGTACCTCAGGACTTCCTTTTTTCGTGAAAGAACCGCTTTGCACCCTCTTCGGAAACTCCTAACACACGATTAGACCTAGCTAGTCAGAATGGTTGACCTGGTGGTGTAGTGTAATTCCGTAGTAAAACAATGGTTGTTCGGTGGTAACCTTTAAATCAATGGTGGTTGGAAGCCTCAGGTATACACTCCCTGAAATGGTGGATGGAAAACAGTTCCTGAATTCGGATGACTTTTTGTCCAATCCGAAAACCCAATGGGTGGTTTTCACTCCACTTCCAGGATTCTTTTTCGGGAAGTGTATCTGCCTGGGAGCATCAGAGTAGAATGCCTAGGGACTTTGTCCTACCTGAAGGTCAGTTGTGCTGCCACCATGGTCCGCATGTGAACAGGGAGGCAAACAACGTGCATTGGTCCAGACCACAACTCAACTAGGAAGCTGCTGATGTCACGTCAGCAAGGGTTGATCAATCCCCACCACTGTGTTTTGAGGTTATGACCGGCTAGCTCCAAAAATGAGTTGGAACACAATTGAAAACCACTGTAACCATGATACCACCTCAAGAACGTCTTACTTTTTGCCATGTTCGCAGCTTGGTGGTTTTTTCTTTTTGAACTCAGCAGCTTGGGAGGATGTGACGATCCGTTTCGCAGATCGGCCAAAGTGCGGATCTACCAGCAGATCATGTGCGGCACATAAAGCAGGTCAAATGCGTCTTTTCTCGGACGAGTGAGCTGCTACCGACACAAGAAAGGCCTTATGCAAAAGAGAAGTCATAAGAATCATGTCAAGTCATGTAAAGGCCAAAGTCCAGGAACCGACTGTTTTGGGGCACCAGCGAAGGTTTCAAGAAAGTCCAAGATCGGATCACCCAGTCAGACTCTTTAACATAGTCTTGGACTTCCCATATATCTATATATATATATATACACCAGCACCTTCCAACAGGTCTCCTTTGGAGGGTTGTTAGGCCCTAAAAGGTTTCAATTGGTGACCTGTTGGAGGTGCTCGTATATGGATGTGATATATGATGTGATAGCAGGCCCTATAGGCAAGCACTCCAACTAGGTTTGCAACGCTCTCGAAGCAGGGGCCCTTTGTCTCTCTCGCTGAAGGAATTTCTCTCTCTCTCTCTCTATCGGGTTCTCGGTTTTTTGGACCGGATAGAACATGGACCTGCTGAAAAACGAAAAAAACACAAAAAACTGGTTCCAAAACGGATTCCTCCACAGGAAGTGGAACCCCTTTTTTTTGCGCCACAACGACTGGAAGTTGTTCAGTTCATGTGTCTTCTTCCGAAAGAACTACTGGTCCAGTGGATAAAACCCACGCGTCGTCGCCTTCGCCTTTTCGCAGCATCTCTCCCCAGTCGCGGCTCAACCTCCTGCCACATTGAGAGAGTACTGCGGAAGAACGGATGCGTTTCGCGGTGTATGGAAGAACGAACTGAGGATCATCACACGAACCGTGAACCACTGCGTGCGCCACACGATCAAGCTCTGAGGACCATCTCTTTGAGATGACCAAGGGAAGATCCTGAAGTCGAAACTGGACCCTTTCCGCAACACATAGGGTGGACTGTTTCCCCAAACCCGTGCGAGTTCTGGAGGGTTTTTCACCTTTGCGAAGAGGTCAAGCCTTCGGACGGTATCCGAGGTGTTCTGGCAAATGTTCAGCCAGTCGTCAGTCGTCTATGAAAAGAAGCAGGAAGTAATGCCCTGCTTCATCGTCATGGTCCCTCACAAGGGGTCATTCTCATCTCCCGAAACTTCATTCCATGTCCTTTCTCAAGGCATCTGAAGATCGGAGAAGGCGATGTTTAGCTCGTTCACTCCCTCCGTGCTCGTGAGAACATCTCACACTGCTCGGGCGGTCATCCTTTCATCCTTTCGAGGCCATTGTCCTCCATCTGCCATCCATGATGATTTCAGGGAGTGTTTTGGAAAGAACTGTTCATTCTAAGAGTTCGGTTGACCTGGCTTGGTAGGGTAAAGTGCCTAGTAAAACCAAGGGTTGTTCGGGATTCAGGCGATGAAGTCAATAGCGGAATCCCAGGGTACATCGCATTGCCAAGATAGAGTCCATGGAGCAGCCTCCATTCCAGTTCAATCCGGTGCTTGCTGGCCCATTCTTTTTGTTCAGGTCCCCCGAGGATTCATGGCCCACGATTGATCATGATATGGCTTCAAAAATTCCGAAGGAACCTCCTACTTTAGCCTAAGGATTTGAGATTCCACGTCCACCATTCTTCCACGGCTTCAACAAGCACTCGTTAGGATCGCACGCTTGCGCATCCGAGAAGGTGCCTCCAGGAGGACCCTGTTTGGGGCTTCTAGTGATAGCCCCTTAGATGTGATTCAAAGTGTCCATTAACCACCCAACTCCAGTGGGTCCTGGTCTTGACTCCAGGATTTCTGGCACGGAAAGAATCTATTGATCATCTACGATCTGTACTGCCTGAAACCCACATCCGTCTCGCATGCAGTCTCGGAGGTCGGGCATCAGGATCAGAAGGATTCGTGGACCGTTGGATTGAAGTACATCTGATAGATCTCCTCAGGGAGACACGAGACGAACCCGAAGACTTCGCACCCCACCCCCAGTCCCCTCGCTGTCTGTGTCTGTGGAGCCACCGCATAAAAAGCCAGAAGCACGACTTGGGTGGCATGGTTGCGGAATCGATGTTTCCATCTCGGTGCGGAATCGACTGGTGCGTGCATCAGAGAATCAATCACTCAAACACGCTGAAACTATGCATGGTGCATAGCTGCAGAGATGTTGTGTGAGCTCCGTTCTTCACCTTTTTTTTCAACGCATCGAATTGATGATCACTTCCTAGCCCTGTCAGACCGCGATGGGTACAAAAAAAACCACATCTGGACCCTAGCCTTCCAGGACAATTGCAGTAAAAGAAGGATTTGCTTTGTAGTGTAAAATCCTTAAAGCAATGGTTGTTCCGAGTTGTTCCGGTGATGGACAAACTCGCTTCACGAACCTGGCGATGATCATGGGACCTGGACGCCTAATGATTGCTATTTAGGACGAACAGAGGGGTTGATGCCTGGTACCATGTACCTAGAGCCTGAGTGACCTCTGTTTGATAGCAAAAGACCAGATGTTGGGGTGGGTCGTCCGAGGTCACTCAGGCTCGTTCGGACCACATACCGCTCCTACCCCGCTAGGCCGCTAGGCGCGTCACGGACCGGTCCAGTCGAGCCAGCTCGGTTCAAAACCCTCAGGACAAGCTCCTTTAAAAGGTGTCATCGAAAAAAGGCCTCGTAACGAGGTGATTCGGGGTGTCCAAAAGCCCACGCTTTGAAGATCCTGGTACATGCCATGTACATGCCATGTACTAAGGTCTCCTCCAGTGCCGGTGCGTCTCCTCCAGTGCTTTTGGGGGAGAAGAGTGGCAGCTGGTGACCTGGGTCTGACCTGACCCATGCTGGTACATGCCATGTAGGCCTTTTGCCATGCCGAGGTGCAGCCATGTACTCCAGGTTGGGATTGGAGGGTATCGTTGGCAAGGTCTGTGAGGTGACCGACGTCACCGTACCCTCCCGGGACATTTCGGCCACGGCCTGCGCGCGCTGCCAGCAGGGATGGTGCGGTGCGTCCAATGGCTGTGCGTCCAATGCCGTTTCGGGGCACGTGTGGCGTGCGAACGGTTCGACCACAGACCACACAAGAACCGTTCGAACCTGACAAGAACCAGCTGGTCTGCTTCGGGGAAAGCCCGCACGAACAAAGGCCAATCCCCAAAGGAAGGTGGTCGGACCTTCCAGGCACCTTCCGCAATTTCGCAAAAGCCTCCCGCCCCCAGAGCCGGGTCCCTGTCACCTCAAAAGGGGAAGAGAGTTGATTACGGGAGCTTCTGATTTTCTGTGCCCTGTCAGCCTATTGACGTAGGGTCGTGTTTGGATGATCCATGATGATCCTGGTTTTAGTTCTGCGGCGCCACTAGACCAGCGCAACTCCAGCTGAGAAGCACCAGACCAGTTGGGGTGCGGGTCTCCCTGGGTCGAAGGACACGTTGCTGCACTCTCTGCTATGCTATGTCACGCTCACCTTTTG